ACTTAGTTTTACAGGAAGTTACAAGGTCACACGGGGTGAAAATTTCAAAGTTTACTTTTTCAAAATTATTTTGCCTACTAGATCTTTCATTTCTAGGCACACTTTACAGTTAGCTTATCAATTTCTACAAGAAATTGAAGCCTACTGAAGTTTTAGTAGGGACTGAGATGAATCAGTAAATCAGTTTGGGGAAAATCTAATTAACAATGATCTTCCAACCCAGGCATAAGGCATATAATTCCATATATTTGGGTCTTCTTCAATTTCTCCCAGCAACAATTGTTCATTTTCAACATACAGATTTTTTTTTTTAAGATTTACTTATTTAGGGGCTGGCACTGTGGCGCAGCAGGCTAAAGCCCCAGCCTGTGGTGCCGGCATCCCATGAGGGCGCCAGTTCGCTCCTCTTCCAATCCAGCTCTCTGCTGTGGCCTGGGAAAGCAGTAGAAGATGGCCCTAGTCCTTGGGCCCCTGCACCCACATGGGAGACCTGTAAGAGGCTCCTGGCTCCTGGCTTCAGATCGGCTCAGCTCTGGCCGTTGCGGTCATATGGGGAGTGAACCAGCAGAATGGGAGACCTCTCTATCTCTCTCTGGCTCTACTTCTCTCAGTAACTCCTCTGTCTTTCAAAATAATAAATAAAATAATTCTTAAAAAGAAAAGATTTACTTATTTATTTGAAAGGCAGGATTCCAGAGAGACAGAGGCAGAGAGAATTAGAGATATCTTTCATGCACTGGTTCACTCCTCAGTTGGCCACAGCAGCTGAGACTGGGGCAGGCCAAAGCCAGCAGTCAGGAGCTTCCTATTCACAAAATAATTCCCCTAACAAATTAACAATTAAAGAAATCTTATGAACCAACTTCAATACTTCAGTTCTCACCACAATGTGGACTATCTTAAACATATGACACATAAACCTTTCTGAAGTCTTGATCTTGTTCAGGCTAAGTACTCGAACTCCCGCATATTCCAATCAAAGATTCGGGTTCGTAACACCTACCAGCATTTGCGACAAGCACCAGGGGCAGTCTTCCTCGTTCCACATCATCTTTAATCAGTTTCTCCAGGAAGGCGACATCCTGGAACCAAGAAACAAACCACAAAAACATGAGGCAACCAACATAAAAGTTAGATAATGAAAAATTACGACTTTCAAAGGAAGCATACTGATTCTCAAAATCAGTCACTCACATTCTTGACAATTTTCCTATTATTTCTAATCACAGGTGTGAAAATCAAAGTCTTCGTTTAAGACTGGAAAAAATCAGTTAAACATTTACACTTAAAGGAAATGTTCTCTCAACCCCTTTGAAACAGCCAAGAAAGTATCTCTATTATTAATGTATCCGAAATTGAAAGTGAAACTACCTTTAAAACAGAAATTCAGAACCCTAAAATCCGTCCCTTTTCCTTCTGGCTTTACTAAGAAGAGGTTTAGCACCTGTATTGGTAAAAATAAGCAGAACTCAATCCCAAGATTACAATGAGGAACCTTATTTTCACAATCTGCCCATGCAAAAATCCGGGCAACAGTGATAATTTAAGTAAGGGTTTTTAAAGCAGGCATTTAGTCCAGCTGCTGAAACACCTGTGTCCCACACTGGACTGCCCAGGTGCAACTCCCAACTCCAGTCTCCAGCTTCCTGCAGATGTAGACACTAACAGGGAGTGGAGATGGTGCAAGTAATTAGGGGAGTTCTTGCCACCCACATGGGAGACTTAGTGAGCCTGGCTCCTGGCTTCAGTCCTAGGCCAGGGCCAGTTGTTGCAGGCATTAAGGGAGTGAACCAGTAGCTGAGTAGTCTCTCTCAAAAGAAAAATAATATGAAAAAAAATTTTGCTTTAGAAGGAATTGCTAGTGCTTAATTGGGTTACCATGTTCCTACTTAAAACAAGTGATACACATAATGATTAGAAGGTCCCTTAAGAACCAGGTATTCCTGATCTACCTGCCTACCTTCAGGGACACTGAAACACTGAAGTACGTATTATACTATAGAAAGACTAGAGCAATAAGTAAATATGCCAATATCTGTAAGCCAGCTAAAGTTGAAAGGAAGATGCAGCTTTAAACACATTCCATATTATTTTACAAACTAAAAGGAGAACTCACCATCTGATGCTGGGATCCAAACATCGTGTTACAGGGCACACGACACAGGCAGGGGAAGGGCAAGCCGAGCTGCAAGAAGAAACACACAACTCGACATCAAAGATCTCCACCACCACTCACATATGACTGTGAAAGACTCTAGGACAAACCACAGCGATTCTTAAAAAAAAAAAAAAAAAACTACCCTGAGGAAATCTTAACATTATAGATGTTTATTTAGAAAGTCAAGCCGAAAACAAAAATAGCATGGGAGGATACAATGCAAACTGCTCTGAATGAGACAAGTATCTATCTTTGGTATATTCATTTTCTAAAGAGAAAAACAGCTGAGCCCTGAGCATTCCGGAGGGGTGGGGGTGGTATAATTTGGTATTTTTCCTCCAAGCATTACTGGTAACATCAACTAAAGGTATTCGAAGAACAGTATGTTTTTAATGTGTCCACCCACCCCTAAGAAGTAATAAATATGGAAAAGCAGAAGTGTGTTTTGTGAAAGAAGTGAGTGTTATAGATGGACTGTTACTGTCAAATTAATTTTATATTCTTCATTTTTAGCTTTCAATGTGTGAAGGATTTATAGTTTTAGGAATTGTAAACAGTTGTAGTATATTTTTCTATATGAGGGGACCTCCAAAGTTTGTAAAAGCGGAATTAAAAGATTAAAACAAATTATTTCTCAATACAAGCTCCATGAAGTTCAAGACATTTTTGTAAAGAATATCAGCCATGTGATCCATCCTTAAAGAACTGAGGGACCTAGGAATTTAACCATGACATTAACTGCAAAAAACTGGGTGCCCATTAAAGATATTTTAAAACTAGGAAACAAAAAGAAGTCAGAAGGAGCCAAATTAGGACTGTAACATGGATGCCTATAGACCTCCTGTTGCAACTTGCAAAACTGTTTGCTACAGGAATGAACAGGAACAGTGCCAAGGTGGGGAAGCTGTCCCTGCTGTTTTCTGGCATTTGGCTAACTTTCTCCTAACACTCAACTGTCATCATTCTTTGGCTGCTCTCCAGAAAGTCAATAAGCATAATGCCTTGGACATCCCCAAAAACTACTGCTATGATCTGTGCTCTTGACCGCTGGTCTGCTTTTCTTTGACAGGACCACTTCAAATGCTTTGACTGTACTGGGAAACCCATGTTTCATCATCTCTTGTTACAATTCTTCTTAAGTCTTCAGCATCTTGATCCTGCTTTTTAACATTTCTGTTGAAAGCTCTGCTCTTGTTTGCAGCTGGTCTGGATGCAACAATTTTGGCATCTGTTGAGCAGAAAGTTTGCTTAATTTTGATTTCCCTGTCAGAACTGTGAGAGCTGAACCAACTCTATGGTACTGCTGTTGTTTCTGCTGTTAGTGGTTGGTCCTCTTCATTAAGGGCACAAAGATGATTAATTTTCTCCTTGCAAATTGATTCAGATGGTCTGCTGTTGCAGGCTTCATCTTCAACACTGTTTTCGTACCCTCTTAAAATGAGTTAAACATTTGACTGCTGACTTCTTTTGGGTACAGATCCCACAAACTTTTCATAAGGCATCAGTGATTTCACCACTCTTCCACACAAGTTTCACAATGAATCTGATGTCTGTTTTTGCTTCAATTTTAGGAGAATTCATATTGCCCAGATAGGTACTCTTTTTTGTAAAATTTCTTAAATCAAGTTTTATTTACTTGAGAGGCAGAGACAGATACAGATTTTTCCACCTGCTGGTTCACTCCACAAATGCCTGCAACAGCCACGGCCTGAACTCAGTTCAGGTGGCAGAGACCTAAGCACCTGAGCCTTCACCGGGAGCCTCGCAGGGAGTACATCACCAGGAAGCTGGAATCTAGAGTGAGGCAGGACTCCAATCTAGATACTCTCATATCGGATGCAGGTGTCCCAAGTGGAGCTGACCGCTGTACCAGACATCTGAAGGGCTATTTTCAAACTGGCATCTTTCTTAGTGCCTCAAACTTGATCTTGCTCAGAAATGTCATAATAAACTAGTGGCTTTACTTCAGTGCAAAGAATTTTGAAATTTGGGGCTGGCACTGTGGTGCAGGTTAATTCTCCGCCTGCGGCGTCAGCTTCCCATATGGACGCCGGTTCGAGTCCCAGCTGCTCCTCTTCTGATCCAACTCTCTACTATGGCCTGGGAAATCAGTAGAAGATGGCTCAGGTGTTTGGGCCCCTGCACCCACGTAGGAAACCCAGAAGAAGGTCCTGGCTCCTGGCTTCAGATCGGCCCCACTCCAGCCGTTGTGGCCATTTGGGGCGTGAACCAGCAAAGGGAAGAGCTTTCTCTCTGTTTCTCCCTCTCTGTCTGTAACTCTACCTCTCAAATCAACAATAAAATCTTTAAAAAATATTCTGAAATTAATGCAGTTTTTCAGAGTATGTATTTTCCATGAACTTTTTGAAGATCTCTTGTATAACTAAGATTTGGTAGTGCTTAAAAACCAAAACTTTAATGAGTACTTTATTTACACATTTCCTCTTTAAAGAATTTTCTTTCACAGCAATCAGGATTTATTACTGATCATGATTCAGGAGTGCAGAATAGTGACGCCCTCATGAGTGGAGGGCCCAGCTCTTGTCTCAGGGACCACAATTGGGGATACATCTGACCCCACAACCGTCTGGGATAAGCCGCTTCTCAGCCACCATGTCTTCAAATTTATCCACATTAAACTTGGTAAAGCCCCCCCCTTCTTTCAGATGTGGAGGTCAGGGAACTTGAACTTGGCCCTGCACAAGTTGCAACTCGGTGGAAATGGACATGATGACTTGGCCAATGTGACTGTGCCTTCAGGCTTTCCAAAAGTGCCTGCATCCCTGTCTGCAGCCTAGATTAGGAACAGCATGAGGCAGAGGCATGAATGTCCATTGTGAAGGGCTGTCTCCAAGGTCCCTTAGGGCAACCCATACAAACAATAGGTTGTATACACTACCAAGGAGACCAGGCTTGTAGCTACTACATACCAGGCCCCCTGAAGAAAGGGAGCTGATCAGCTTAATTAGCTGCAGGTAAAGAATTATTTAAATTACAAAACACTCAAGTAGCACAGATCATCAAAAAAAAAAAAAAAAAACCAGCAATAAGTAAAATGCCCACCTGTCCAACAAGCCACCAATACACTACTATTAACAGTTTAATATATAACCTTTCAGACACTTGTTAAGTATAAATATATTTATTACTATAGATGTATTTTTCTAGGTATATATAGGGCCGGTGCTGTGGCATAGTGGGTAAAGCCATGGCCTGCAGTGCCAGCATCCCATATGGGCGCCGGTTCGAGTCCTGGCTGCTCCATTTCCAATCCAGCTCTCTGCTATGGCCTAGGAAAGCCGTGGAAGATGGCCCAAATCCTTGGGCCCCTGCACCCATGTGAGAGACCCTGAAGAGGATCCTGGCTCCTGGCTACTGGCTTCGGATCGGCCCAGCTTTGGCCATTACTCCCATTTGGGGAGTGAACCAGCGGATGAGGGATATTACTCTAATATAGGACAAGTTTTATGCACAAAAATATCCATAACAGCACTAAATAAAGAGCATTACCTAAAAATGGTTATGAAAAGAAAAAAAAATTGGAAACACTAATTATCCAAGAGGGAAATAGTTACTACACAGGTACTTGAAAAAATATTATGGAGACATGAAAAATAAACTTTACTTCAAAGAACTGTTAAAACATGATATACTTCTGGGACCGGCTCCATTGGTACACTAGGTTAATCCTCTGCCTGTGGCGCCGGCATCCCATATGGGTGCCGGTTCTAGTCCCGGTTGCTCCTCTTCCAGTCCAGCTCTCTGCTCTGGCCCGGGAAGGCAGTGGAGGATGGCCCAAGTCCTTGGGCCCTGCACCCCATGGGAGACCAGGAGGAAGCACCTGGCTCCTGGCTTCAGAATGGCACAGTACGCGGCGGCCATTTGGGGAGTGAACCAATGGAAGGAAGACCTTTCTCTCTGTCTCTCTCTCTCTGTCTGTAACTCTACCTGTCAAATAAATAAATAAAATCTTTTAAAAAAATGATATACTCCTGTTATAATAGTAAGTGGTAAAAGCCAGACAAAATCATGTAAACACACACACACATACACACCTCTGATTGAAGTGTGGAAAGAAAGTGAAATGTTGACTGTGGTTGCATTTAGGCAATTAAAAACTGGGGCAGACATTTGGCATGGTGGTTGTTGCTGCTTGGGAAATCTGCATCTCATAGCACCACAAATCGCAGTGCCTGGTTTGAGTCCTAACTATTTGGCCTCTGATCCAGCATCCTGGTAATGTGCACCCTGGGAGACAGCAGACGATGGCTCAAGTACTTGAGTTCTGGGCTCCTGGCTTCAGCATGGCCCAATCCTGCCTGTTGCAGGTATTTGGGGAGTAAACCAGCAGACGGAAAAATCTCTCTCCTCTTCAAATAAAAAAAATTTTTAATTTGCAAATACATCTATTATACATTCTTTAGTTCTAAATTTATTTATATAGAGAAATAGATGAAATAGAGAAAGCAGTCTGCATGCTTTAAAAGCCTCAGAACAAAATAACACAGTGTTTCTTTAAAATATCTACACTGTGCCACATTACCTGGTTACAAAGGTATTGGCCCAGGCCAGGTCTGGCAGCAGCACTAAGGTATATAACAGGCTTCTTGTTATATAGCACATTGAATCCATCCACCACAAAGTCCTCATATCGAGAATGAATGGCCAGCCTACAGATCTTTGCAAGGCCTTCTCTTTCTTCTTCATGGAAATAAGCACAGCCATTCTCATACCTGTTAAAGAGACAATCACAGGTTAACATGCTCTTCTACCTGGCTAATCAGGGTTTTATACAGAAGCACTTCTTTTCTGCAGCTACAGATGCGTGTTTACAGGACGTGAAACACCTCATTTAGATGGCTGCCGACTCTCACAGCCAGGAGCTATGAAGGAGTTTTGGCAATGACACTGCATCCACACCCAACTCCACAAAGAATAGAAACTCTGAGAGCAAGCAGAGGATGGGCGTCCTCCAGAGAAGAAGCCTGAAAATCTCGGCTCTGGTTACTCCATGCACAGGCCAGCACTGGATAAGGCAAACCTAGTTCTTGGAGTTTCAGCTCTACAACACTCAAATAATCTGTCAAAAACACTAGCCAGGCTAATTTTACTTCTATAATTATTTACTTGGGGGTTTTTCATTCTTCACAATCTACTAGATGAGGAGGAAGAATTTCAATTATAGGCATTAGATTTTTATCAGAAAAGAAAACTTCTCCTTTGTAATAACATTAGGCAGACGTGTTCTCTCACTAGGCCAGGCTATTTCCCAACATCTGCAAATGAAGGTCTCTCAATTTGAATGCTTCAGTGTTAGGCAAACATTCCTTCTCCATGAAAGTTACAGCATAAACACAATACCACAGGTCTTGTTCCTCCTGCTGAATCCTTAATCTGTTATAATCCCTTAATAATGTCAAGACTATCACAGCATACAGAAAAGTTCCAATTTCATAACACACATTCATCTTCCCTACAAGTTTCTTTTCTACAAAAGCACAAACTAATGCTATCATTAGTTTTTAGAAATAATAGGGGTCGGTGTGTAGTGCAGCAGGTTAAGCCATAGCCTGCAGTGACAGCATCCCATATGGGTGCTGGTTCATGTCCCAGCTGCTCCACTTCCGATACAGCTCCTTACTAATCCACCTGGGAAAGCAGCGGAAGATGCCCCAAGTTCCTGGGCCCCAGCCACCAACATGGGAGACCTGGAAGAAGCTCCTGGCTCCTGACTTCGGCCTGGTCCATCCCTGGCAGTTGTGGCCATTTGGGGAGTGAACTAGCAGATGGAAGATCTCTCCCTGTCTCCTCCCACCCCCCAGCTCTGTAACACTGCCTTTCAAATAAATAAATCCTAAAAAAAAAAAACACAAAAACTACAACCACACCTCCCCAAAAACACTATGATAAAATGCATTTGATTCAGATTATTATTTTTTATTCTATTAGCATGTGCCAATTAGGACCCCCGGAAGCGCTTACACTAGCTCCTTACATTTAACCCATTATACCCACAAAAATCCCATGAAATAGGAATTAATGCCATCCCCACTTAAAAGATGATGAAACTGAGGCACAGAGTAGCCAAGGAAGCAACCCTTCTAAGAAGAGGCAAATCTGAATCCAGATATATCTCCCAAAAAAGGATCTCTCACATTCTATAACTAACATGTCTTTGTGGGAAACTAAAGTCTCGCAAGGTTGTTACCTGAAGATCCTGCATAGCCATAAGGTAGTATCTGAAAGTATTCTTGTTGTAAGTTTTCTCAGCTTTTCTTTGTCCAGAGTTGAAATATAAGCTCCCAGACTGTGCCCCAACAAAGCCATGTGCCCTTGTTCTCCAATATCCTGGATTCTGTTAATCAAAAATTAATTAGATTAAAAAAAGTATTAGAGTTGAAGCATGAAAAAGAAAACAGAACTAAGAACAGTAGTCCACAGAACTTTATGTTACACTCAAAATCAATTTACTGGCTCAGAAGGCAGAAATTCAGATAAATTTAGAAAATTCAATGCATATAAGGTATTGACAGCTTGGGGAGAAAAAATTTTAAAAATTCAAGACCCACAAAATAGACTTTCTTTTTACTGAAAAATCTATACTGTTCTTGAATAATCTCCTCTTAAAATAATTTTAAAATTAGATACCAACTTTAAGAGCCATAGAAAATAGAGACATTATAAAATTAGCAGAAACCAATTTTTTTTTTTTTTTTTTTTTTTTTGGACAGGCAGCGTGGACAGTGAGAGAGAGACAGAGAGAAAGGTCTTCCTTTGCCATTGGTTCACCCTCCAATGGCCAGCGCGACCGGTGCACTGTGCTGATCCAATGGCAGGAGCCAGGTACTTATCCTGGTCTCCCATGGGGTGCAGGGCCCAAGCATTCGGGCCATCCTCCACTGCACTCCCGGGCCACAGCAGAGAGCTGGCCTCCGGAAGAGGGGCAACCTGGACAGAATCCGGCGCCCCAACCGGGACTAGAACCCGGTGTGCCGGCACCGCAGGCGGAAGATTAGCCTATTGAGCCGCGGCGCCAGCCCAGCGAAACCAATTTTTAAAGAATTAGTAAAAATCATTTTTTTTGACAGCTAGTGAGAGAGAGAGAGACAGAGAAAGATCTTCCTTCCATTGATTCACCACCCAAACGGCTGCTACGGCCAGAGTTACACTGATCCGAAGCCCGGAGCTTCTTCCTGGTCTCCCACACGAGTGCAGGGGCCCAAGGACCTGGGCCATCCTCCACTGCCCCCCCGGGCCAGAGCAGAGAGCTGGACTGGAAGAGGAGCAACTGGGACTAGAACCCTGTGCTCACTCATATGGGATGCCGGCACCACAGGCGGAGGATTAACCAAGTGAGTCACGGCACGGGCCCCACTAAAAATAAATTTTCTGTTACTCATTAGAATAACACAGCAAAATCAATGGAAACTAGCTATTTTATAAGTAACTGAAAGAGATGGACTAATTTCACTTACAAAGAATAACTAAATAAGAAATGTTTACATCTGTTAACTGTTAACAGTGAGCAAAAGACTTAGAACTATATAGGATCACGGATAAAGGACAGACAGTTCATAGAAAGGGAAAATAAATAGGTCTTAAAACAGAAAAACAATTACATCATCTCTCACTTATCATTTATCAAAGATCCTTAAGTCTGATAATGCCCTTGCAGGCAAAGGTGTAGGAAAAGTACTCCTCTCATATATCACTGGTGGGAATGCTAACTGTTAACACCATGGAGGGAAATAACACCACCAGTGATCCAAACTACAACTGCAGGGCTGGCATTGTGGCCCAGTAGGTAAAGCTGCTGTCTGTGGTGCCAGGACTTCACATGGGCACCAGCTGAGTCTCGGCTGCTCCACTTCCAATACGGCTCCCTAATAATGTGCCTGAGAAAGAAGCAGAAGATGGCCCAAGTCCTTGGGCCCCTGCACCCACGTGGGAGACCTGAAAGAAGCTCCTGGCTCCT